AAGAATCTATACGGCCAAAGAACTTTCTGGAACTAGATTTGAATCTTCCAGCACCAGAAGATGAGCCGAAATTCGCGTTTCTGTCCAAAGATCAGATTCTTCTCTTCGCAACCGCATCAAATTCTTTGATTGATTGTCATCACTAATTAAGTAGTTCTTGTAATTACTTTTTTTTTTTACCTTGATATGTTAATCATTAACCATTCTCTTTGTAATATCTTTATATTGATTCATGTAATTTGACATTGATTGAATTAACTTCAAATTATTTCATTCTTTGAAAACAATATTGTATTTATGTAAATACTTAACTTTGGGAGAATGATTAAAGATGGTGAGAATGTTCCTTGGAGGACGGAAGAAGCATGTGACGATGACTTTCGCATAAAGTCACTTCGTTTGTTAGCCGCCACTAACTCCTTTACATGCACTTCACTTCTGTTTTGGATTGTTCCATTTTTTTTTTTCAGATTATTTTATGATACATACTCATTACAACTATTTAATATTTATATAGATCAAAAGACGAAATCTAGAGTAATCAAAACAAACCCATTAAAAATCGAATTTTAAAGCGTGTTTAGAGTGTTCTACGTAGAAGTATAGTAGAAGACTAGATGTGACTTGACCCGCTTCAGACTAATTAACAAGGTACAATCTTCAATCACTATACCAAAATCATGATTAAGCTAAGTGTTTTTAGTCTATGTTATTGTATATGGTTTATAAGATGGAATTGGTCAATATGTTATTGTATATGACTTAAAAGATTGAATTTACTTCTTTTTTTTTGGTGAAAAAAGATTGAATTTACTAGGGTGAATTTGTTAACTAACCAAAAAAAATTATAATTAAGTTCTAATCAAAAGTGGCATATATGGCCAAATTTGTAACCATTGGATTTATTGGAATTGGTTAGATGGTTAATTATATTTTTTTGTAGTTATTCAACATAATTTCTCAATTTACTATAAGTAACAAATTTTATTTCTTATGAACTTGTTACCTATATAAATTAGGTAATCTAACTTGTTATCTTTAATGGAAAATAGAGACATCTAAAGCAAATGGTTTAAATTCGTTTTTTCCGAGGTGATGATAGAAATTTCAAAAAAAAAATGTCACTTTTCAAGTGCCACTTTACAAAAATACCACATTTTTGAAATCTTTATAAAAATGACACTTTTTCAAAAAAAAAAATTTATATTATTTATGTTTGGGTTAATTATGTTCTATTAGGGTTTAGTTTTGAGTGTTTAGGGGGTTTTAAGTGTCAAAACATTT